AGGACTTGCTTTTGATTGATATTAATAAAAGGGGGAAGGGTATTATGACTGACTACTTTCCAGCTTGGATGACGGCATATGGTGAGAAAAAGGAAGCTGGAGAATATAGTTTGATGGCAAGTTTGTGTTTTGTCAGGGTATTTTGTTTTGTTTTTCCTTTTTAACAAATCTGAATTCTACAGACATTTGGATATGCAAGATTTAAGTTGAGTGGGAGACAGATCAGGGTCAATGATGTATTCTGGAGAGTTAGCATCATAAAGCTATGGTCAAAACTAGGAGACTAGAGTCTATCACCCAAGCATATTGCAAAGAATTTGACAAGCTGTGGGATAATGATGTAATGCCAACTTTTAAAAGTCCCTGGACTATGGGGAACACACAAAGGGGACAAAGAGGAAAACAGTAAAGCTCAGAGAGGATAGAATTAGAGAAAGAGAAAGCCACTGGTAGTGTTAACAGTAACAGAGTGTACTACCAAAACATAAAGGAGGAATCATCTCCATTGGATTTGGCAATATGAGTGTCTTTGATGATAGTTTTAAAAGGTTGAGGTCAAAAGTCAGATGGCAGTGAGATTAAAAGTGAATAAAGAGAAAGAAGATCTAGGGCGTCTGGGTGGCTCAGTTGGTTAAGCAACTGCCTTCAGCTCAGGTCATGATCCTGGAGTCCCGGGATCGAGTCCCACATCAGGCTCCCTGCTCTGCGGGGAGTCTGCTTCTCCCTCTGACCCTCTTCCCTCTTGTGCTCTCTATCTCTCATTCTCTCTCTCTTAAATAAATAATAAAATAAAATCTTTAAAAAAAAAAAAGAGAAAGAAGATCTAGAGATTGTGGAAATATAATGAAAGAGTGAGAATGGAAAGGGGAAACCCGAACTGAAAGAGTCGTGTTTGTTTATTTGGACTCTAGCTTTGTCTTTTGTTTTTTTGTGTTTTTGTTTTTGTTTTTTTTTTTCCCCTGAAGTGAGAGAGCCTGGACAGAGTAGTAGAACAAAAACAGATTTAAACAAGTTCTTAAGGAACTGGAAAGGATAGATTCAAGGACACCTATGAATGAATTGCCTTCCTTAGTTCTAATTATTTTCCCACTCATAATCATAGTCCTAATACAACCATCCCTATCTATGCTCTTGGTTAATTCTTAAAACTGCTTTATATCTGTAGATAGCATAGTGAAGCTATGGAGCACAACATCAAGGTTGAAGTCCTATCCTACTCGTACATTATCCTTAAGCAAGTTATTTAATTTCTCTGCATCTTTATTACCTATGAAGTAGGATAATAGTATCACCTACTGTGTAGAATTGTAATAATAGTATCTAGTTTAAGGAACAGTTGTGGGGATTAAATGATTTAATTCATGTAAATCTCTTAGAAATGTGTCTGCACATGACAAGCACTCAACATATATTAGCAATTGTTATTATTCCAGCCACAGCTAAGTGATTTCACTTTTTGAATATTCACAACTTTTCTATGAATTAGACACTATTATGAACTCACTTCATATATTATGATTAATAATTATTGAAAACTTACTATTTTCCAGTCAAGGATCTAAATGCATAACATATAACAACATCAACAACAAAGTTTATTATTTACAGCGATATACTGGAACTCTCCCCACCTCACACCTTACCTCCAGATGGGGATTGTTTCTCCAAGGAAACAAACCATCTTGCTGAATAAACTTACAATATTGACATCTGAGAATCTCCCAACAAACAACTGAGTCCACATCCAATTGCTATAGCGAGCCACCCACTCACCCCCTCAGTGAACAAACTTCACTTACATACACAAAGAGGATCTGAACACCTTTTTAGTGTCTCACTATTGATTGGATGGACAATCAAATCATATCAGGTAGCTAGGGAGCTCCCCTAACATGAGAGAGACCAAAAGAAACAGAAAAAGAGCACTCAGAAGAAACATGCAGAGAACAGGGGAAACTTTTATAACAGATAAAAAAGGTCTTACATGAACAGGCTATAAAAAAGACCACTTTTGAAAATTAAAAATATAATAGTAAAAAATTAATAGAAGGGCTGTAAGATAAAAATTGTAAAAAGTGGATATATAAGAAAATTAGAGAATTAATTCAGGAGGTCTGGTGTTTGATGAATAGAACTTCCAGAAAGAAAATCAGAGAGAAGGGATGATAGAGTAATACCAAAATTTCCCTGAAATGAAAGATCTGAATCTTGATTGAAATGGCCCATGGACTACCCACAAAAATGTCTGAAAAAGGGATGCCTGGGTGGCTCAGTTGGTTAAGCATCTGCCTTTGGCTCAGGTCATGATCCCACGGTCCTGGGATCACATCCCACCTTGGGCTTCCTGCTCAGTGGGGAGCCTGCTTCTCCCTCTGCCTGCCACTCCCCCTGCTTGTGTTCTCTTTCTCTCTCTGACAAATAAACAAAATCTTAAAAAAAAAAAGTGTAAAAAAGTCCCACACCACAACTCATCTTAGAATTTCATAATACTAGATAGAACATCCTTAAAACTTCTAAGTAGGGAAAACAAAAACAAAAAAAGGTCACAAGCCAAACACGAGCAATTTGAAGAACATTGGATTTCTCAATGGAAACTCTAGTTGCTAAAAGACAATGGAAACGTACCTTTAAATTTCTAATATAATATCATTTCAGGACAGAAATTACTATCAAATAAAGATGACCACAGATTGAAGGCACTTTTAAACATACAAAATCTCAAAAGTTTATTTTTCATGCACTCTTTCTTGGGAAGCTCTTAAAGGACAAAAGGAGAAGGAGAGGGGCACCTGGGTGGCCCAGTTGGTTAAGCGACTGCCTTCGGCTCAGGTCATGATCCTGGAGTCCCAGGATCGAGTCCCACATCGGGCTCCCTGCTCAGCAGGGAGTCTGCTTCTCCCTCTGACCCTCTTCCCTCTCGTGCTCTCTATCTCTCATTCTCTCTCTCTCAAATAAATAAATAAAATCTTAAAAAAAAAAAAAAAGGAGAAGGAGAAGGAGAAGAAGAAGAAAAGTCTAAATGACATGAGATCCAGAATCAGGGAATTTAATACTGCAGAGAGGGCAAGAGAATTTCTAGAAGGTGAAATAAATTCTCTTATCAATAACTGTATGGCAGATTACCAGCAATTCACCGCAGACTGGAAAAGATGTTCCCATGAGGAAAAATTAACAGATGACTTGATTTGTTGGACTATATTGAGAGAAGATTAATACTTCTGCTTGGGGTCCAAGTAGTGACAGGTATATAGAAAACTAAGAAAAGAAACTAAAATCAAAACAATAGTTAACTCTAGGAAAAACAAAAAGTACCTGAAAAGAAATGTGATTGTAATACAACGTATCATTCAATTATGTATGATATGTACATAGGCAAATGATATAAACATTCAAATTATTGAACCGAAAATTTTGATATAAATATACTGACATGATAGGGGAGGAAATATATATGTTTATTTAGCTATTTTAATACAGTAAGAATAACATGATATTTAGAATTAGGAAAGAAAATTTCATAAGAAACAACTAAAATACTTCAGAATATTTAAAGTGGTTGCTTCTGAAGAGTTGGAGGAGTCAGAGATGGGAGTGAGTAGGGCTAGGAGCCAGTTGTTTTTTTTTTTTTTGTTTTTTTTTTTTTTTAACCACTGCAATCCTAATTTAGTTATGTTTTTGAAAGTTCTTTAGTCTTTCACAAATGCTACATTCAGTATTTCTAACCGGATTGTGTACCCCATGAAGATAGGGGTCATCATCATTCATAATATTTAATCCATCCCTGGTGCCTCTTCAGACCACTGATGACTGAAGAAAACCAAGGGACTGGATAAGCTACAGACCTGAGCACAGACCTTTAGGACTGTAAAAGACTTCGGAAATTAACTCATTTCCTTTAATTTTAGAAATGAACAAAAAGACCCATAGAAGTAAATTATTAGTTCCTAGATAAGAAGTTATCTGTATTTGCTGTATGCTTTGATTTTGGCATCATTGTTCTAATACTTACTAATTATTAATAAATTATATAACTGAACCATAAGAAATATAAAGGGAAATAGAATTCCATACACATCTAACAATGCCTGCTTTCATCAGGCAGGGGTACTATCCCAGTGAAAGAATTTCAGGCCTACAGTAGAGAAATCCAGCAAAAGATAAAATATCAGTTTTCTTTGCTGTTGCAAATTGGATCCACACTCAGTCATTTATTCCCAGTTTTCTATCATTATTTCCTGAAGCAGAGTATGTTACAGCAATCCACCCCCAGATAGGTGATTTGATCATCCTCAGCTTGTGGAATCTTTTACTCCCATAATGCTTATCAGCTCTAGCACAAATTGAACACATTAATCACCAAAAAAAGAAGTCTGCAAGAAGGACAAGAACTAGTGAGTTTCACTGATAATGGGAAAATGCCTTTTTTTTTTTTGAAGAACCACACTGCTAATATTAAGTTGAAAGGAAAAGACAATTTTTTTTGAGAGTGATAACTATAAGAATATGGATAAGGAAATGAATTTAAATGGATATTAGGAGAACTGAGAAGTACCCACTCCTCAATCCTCAGAGGCAAAGAGTATTTGGTAATTATTTATATTTTATTCTAATGAAAAGAATACTAGACTCTGCATTTGGGACTTTTTTGAAATGTAAAATCTGGAGGAGGGCTGAAAAATCTGAGCTCAAAGATTTAGTATCTTTTCCCAAATGAACATGGATGTGTGCCTTCAAATGGTTAATGCTTATCTCTGCGCAGGTGGAAGTACTGGAAGAACCGGAGCCTTTGAACGTGGAAAGCGGGCATCTAACTAAAGCACCGCAGAAGGGGTGCGGGGTGGGGGGGTGCGCTGGGGGCCGAGGAGGGCCGGGTGAAAGCTGCTATCAGTAGCTCCTTCTTATCCCCGCGCCCAGCCTGCAGGGCTGGGCTCGACCCATCTGTCATTGCACACAAGGAGCCCGAGGCTTGTCTCTTTGACAAAAACGTCCGTTTTTGTTACCTTGCTATTATGCCTGGCAGCTTCTTGTCCATGAATTCCTGCATGCACTGGTGTTCCGTGGAACTGTTGAGAAACCTCCGAAAAGATTCAACGTATCTGTTGTGGTCAGAAAACAAGCTCCTCATGGAAGATGCCATGTTTGGTTTTCTGATGGAAGACAGAGAAGGAAGTTTTAACTTCCCCTCCTTTTCTTCCCAGTTCCTTATTTTTTCTCCTCACCGCCACAATTCCTACCCTCCCTCCCCAGCAAAACAAAACAAAACAAAACAAAACAAAACAAAACAAAAAAAACCGTGCTTTGAATTTAACAGGCACGGAAGGCGGCTGTGCAAATCTCATTACGTCAGTCATTTGTACAGGACTTTGCGCTGCTACTTTAACCCCTACACTGTTGTTTTGTAAGAAAGGGAGGTGGTAAAGCAAAGCAATAAATCCACTGCTAAAACTTGTTTTTTTAACGCCTGAAGTTCAGAAAGCCAAAAAACCAGACTGGATTCTAATCATTTCCTGTTTGGCGAGCAGCAACTAGCAGTAAATTTAAATTCCAAGTGGGACCCCGGCTGCTTTAAGGGCCAAAGGCGACAAACACAGGGATTAACACCCACGTAAAAGGCTACAGACCACTTTCAGAAATCTACCCCTGCTGAAATCTTTGACAGAAGACTGTCCTCTGCCTGCCTCCATGCTTTCTACAGGAGAATTTCTTGCCTTGCCCCTTCTCAGTACTTGAACTTTACACTGATTGGCTGCATCTCTTCAAACGCTGATTGGTTGTGTTGTGTTGTAAAGGGAGTCTCTTTAGCATAAACTATCAGGGAGGAACTATGAACTAGAAGGTCTGAGAAGCCTGCTTGGGGGGCAATGAAGGAAATGAGAGAAGACTCTTAGGGCACAAATGCAGGAGAAAGGGTAAAAGCCAGCCGAGTCTGTAGGAATCATTCCCGAAGTGCTTCTGAACAAGGAATCTTTAGATACTTAGGGTTGGACGAGCCTCTGGTGGCCCAGTGTTGTCACCAGTCAAAAATCCAAAGTGTTAGAATATCTACATGCTGGACTTTTTACCCGGGAAGTGGTGTTAAAGAAGGCCATTCCCAGGGCGCCTGGGTGGCTCAGTTGATTAAGCGACTGCTTTCGGCTCAGGTCATGATCCTGGAGTCCCGGGATCGAGTCCCACATCGGACCCCCCGCTCAGCGGGGAGTCTGCTTCTCCCTCTCCCTTGGTCCCCCTCTCCTCTCTGATTGTGCTCTCTCTCTCACACTCTTTCAAAATAAATAAAATCTCTTTTTAAAAGAAGGAAAGAAAACCACTCCTCCAGCATAGGATGTTAATAACAGTATCCATCTCATGGAAGAGTTACAAGAATTAATGAGTTAGTTCATATACATCTCTTAGAACTGTGTCTGCCTAAGCCATTCAGTTCCAAAACTGTCCAAGCATTCAACGCTCCCAAACACTCTTTTCTAAGCACTTCATGGTCACACTACTCTTAGAGCTGTGCCTTTGCCCTAGGAGAAAATGGGAAATCTGGAAAAGCGGATTGCTGTGGGTATAGTGTGAAACTGTGTGACCTTGGCTGAAACATAACTTTCTGTTTGCTCATCAGTAAAATGGGAACAATGAATTAAATCTCATGGGGTTGTAATGAGAATTCTACAGATAACGTTCATAGCCATGCTTACCAGATGCTTACTGCTCCTGTAAGGGGCAGGCTGGTCCCTTCTGTAATAAGAAAACAACAAAAAAAGTTGCCATTTTATTTACAGACACTGAAAATTGAGTTTCATATCATTTTCACATGTCATGAAATATGCTTTGGATTTTCTCCAGTCATTGACAGATGTAACAGTTATTCTTTGCTCAAGGGCTGTATGGAAACAAGGTGCTGGGCTGGATTTGGCCCACAGGCCCTAACTTAGCTCCTAGGACTACAGACAGACAGACAGACAAACATATGCTACTTAACTCCCGTGTCTCTCCAACCAGCCTCGTCTTCCTCAAACTGACTCTCACAAGCTTCTGGTTCTTCATTACCATCTCCCACCCTTCCGTTTAGATCTAATCCAAATCATTCATTCACGGATTCATCTACTTTAACAAATATTTAGTAAGGGTATACTGTGTGATACTTGGTCGTGAAGAAATGGCATTGACCTTACCTTCAAAAGTTCCTACTAAAAGCTACTGTTAACTAAAACTCACTCTTCACCTGAGACCATCATCTGGCCCCTTGCCAAACCTTCCTCAACAGTCTGCTCTTCATTCATGTCTCCTTTGGGATTTCATCCCCCTTCTCATGGCTTCTATCCTACTTGAAATCCTCCTTTTTTTTTTCATCTCCTGCGCTATTTTCATACTGGCTTCCCTGTCTTAGGAGTCACACTGATCCTAGCGAATTGTATGGCCACTGCCAAACTCAGTGTTCTAAAGCACAGTAATGATAAAGTCACTCTTCTCCCCTCAAATGTGTACTGTCTCTCCACTGTACCCCAACTTAAGTCCGAGCCTTATTCTTTGACTCCCATACCCCAAATCATCCAGACTTGTGTTTCATTTTCCTTTAAGGCTTGTGAGTGCATCCCTTCAAACCATGCTGCTTCTCTGGATACATCCCTGTGCTTTCCTGCCTACAGCTTCTCGATGTAGCAGCCCCTACATGAGTAATGCTCTGCTTCTCCTCTGACCCCACCCACCGAAAATGTTCCCACTCCTCACGGGCTACCATTTCCATGAAGCCTTCCATATTTCCCTCAAAAGGCTTAGCAGTGTGCTCTTAATTTCTGAGCCTCTTACAGCTTTGATGGCATTTGTCCTTGTGTTATGGTTTGTTAATGCACTTGCCTTCTCTCCCCTGCTAGGCCCTATGTGATGGCTAGCTAATAAGGACAGGGACTGAGTCATAACTGCTCACAGTAGGCTTTCAGTTATTTTAAAAGATTAAAATTGTGCTTGATCACTTTCACTATTGAGATACTCTCCACCATCAGTTATTCTTCCTCCTTTACATGATTGGGCAATTCTAACTGTTATTAATAAAACTGTAATTCCACTTATTGAGTTCTTATTATGTGCCAGGAATTGTGTGGGTCTTTTTTAACTTAGTGTAGGATTTTTCACTTTGCAGCAGCTCTGTGGGCTTGCCTATATGACAGATGAGAAAACTGAGATCCCAAGAGGTTGGGTCCTTTTTTTCTTTTTTTAAAGATTTTATTTATTTATTTGACAGAGAGAGAGCACAAGCAGGGGAAGCGGCAGGCAGAGGGAGAGGGAGAAGCAGGCTCCCCGCGGAGTAGAAAGCCCGATGTGGGGCTGGATCCCAGGACCCTGAGCCAAAGGCAGACGATTAACAATTGAGCCACCCAGGCGCCCCAAGAGGTTGGGTCCTTTGCTCAAGGATGCCTAGAAAGGAAAGGGCAGGACTGGGAATCTAATTCTAATCTGTCAGATCCCCAAACCAGTGTTCTCATAAACTCTACGTTCAGCCCAAATCTGCCTCCTTATAACTTGTACATGGTACTCCCGTCTCTGGCTGCTTAATCTAAATGGAACGATTCTAATTTCTTCCCCATGTAACACCTATTGAAAAATTTGAGAGCTTCTGGGTGGCTCAGTCAATTAAGCGTCTGCCTTCGACTCAGGTCATGATCTGGGACCGAGCCCCACATCGGGCTTTCTGCTCGGCGGGGAGCCTGCTTCTCCCTCTCCCTCTGCCTGCCGCTCTCCCTGCTCGTGCTCTCTCTCTTTCTCTCTCTGCCAAATAAATAAATAAAATCTTTAAAAATTTAATTAATTAATTAATTTTAAAAAAAGAAGAAAAATTTGAAACTGGCTCATAGGATAGCCCTACTCCCAAAGGTATCTCTTTCATAGTTCCATAATTCTTAGTCTATTTGGACTGTTATCACAGAAATGCACTAAGTAGCTTAAAAAGCAGGCATTTATTTCTCAGAATTCTGCAGGTTGGGAAGTCTAAACTCAACGTGCTGGCAGATTCAGAATCTGGTGAAGGCCCATTTTCTGGTTCTTAAACAATCATTTTCTTACTGACTCTTCACATGGCAGAAAGGACAAGAAAACTCTGGAATCTCTTTTATAAGAGCACTGCTCTTGCTCATGAGGGCTCTGTACTCATGACCTAATCACTCTCCAAAGGCCCCCACCTCCTAATACCATAACATTGGGGGTTAAGATTTCAACATATGATTTGGTGAGTATACAAATAGTTGGTCCATAACAGTTACTAATTATACCATTTCCAGTATAGCCTTACATAATCCACTGTGCTAGTTTCCTCCTTTGGACAGACTAGTATGTCAGGGTTTCTTTAAAAAAAAAATGGTGTCTGGAAATAAACACAATATCCCAAAAGTTGCCTAGCCAGACAGATTGTTACTGTCCAGGTTAGACTAAACTAATATTTCCCTCGTGTTCTGCCCAACCCGAGTTCTTTCAGATGTTACTAGATGCTTTACAAAAAAAATGAGTTCAATAGATTCCTCTGATGGTCATAATGCCCATTAACATATTAAAGCTTCATGAAACCTTTGTCACAGGCCCTGTTGAAATGCAGATACACCATGTCTCTGGCATTTGGGCATTTCTCTGAGTAGTCTTTCACCCCCTCCAAAAAAAGGAAAATCTTGTTGCTTTCAGCATGACTTGCACTTGACTAAATGCTGGTTTCAGCAATCACAACTTCCTTTTAAAATTACAAATAGAATATCTGCTTCATAATCCCTAATGAATCTGGAATGTCCCTGGGGATTAAAACATCTAGCAGGCTGGTTGGAATTACTAAATTTTAAGAATCCTCTTTTCCCCTCTTTCTTGAAAATTGGGGCATTAGTCTAGCAATCTATCATTTGCCACGACTTCTCAAAGGTTACTGGCAAAATAACATCATTATTGCTCTTATAAATTATTTCAGTACATTGGGATGTGATTCTTCTGGGCTTTGAATGATTATCTTAATTAGAATTCTTAGATGTTCTCTTACCTCTTTGGGGCTTCTGTCCTCTTTAACCTACCATATATTATGCTGTTACTGTGTCAAAGTGCCTTTCACACATTATCTCGTAATACTCTTAATCCTCTGGGAATGGAACGATTGTTATCATCAAGCAAGACTCAGAACAAATAAGTTGTACAAAATCTATAACTCATGAGAAAAGAATCTGGATTCAAGTTCATGTTGTTTAACTCCATGGACCATTTTTTAAAAAATTATATCATACTACTTCTTACCACTTTGTACCTTTTCAACTTGATTATTTTCCATGTTAGAGAACTCTGGAACAAACAAAAAGTAGAGTAATTCTGTATTCGTCCTACCACAAATTAATATAGTACTATCCATGCTAGGTCAAAAAGCAAAGGATTTCCCTTGTTTATTCTTTTTTATTTATTTATTTTTTAATTTTTTATTTGAGTTTCGCTGACATGCAATGTTACATTAGTTTTAGGTGTACAACGCAGTGATTTGACAAGTTTATACATTTTGCTGTATTCACCACGAGGGTATCTGCCATCTGTCCTGTTATATCTCTATTAATTGAGGATAGTCGCAAGAAAGGCAGACAGAGACAAGGGGATCCCATCCCGAGAGGAAACTACCCTTAAAAGGAAGAAGACCCCATCTTGTTATTCTATATCATCATGTAAGGAGCCCTCCACCCTTTCCCACATGAACAACTACCTGATAAGTAGATGAGTGGTGGGCAAAAACCTGATTGGGTGACAGGTGCAAGGAGGCTTAATCAGATTAAAACAGCCCGCCAACATTCTCATAAAAACCCCTAGACTTGGAAGCCCTAAGGGCAACCCTCTCGGGCCCCCTCCCTATTCAGGAGCTTTGTATTGTCCCTCAATAAACTTTGCTTTGCTGCCCGCCACTCTTTGTCTGGTCTACCTCTTCATTCTTCAAAGTGGCCTGACCAAGAACCATGGGCACCAAAGGAAAAGAAATCCTGAAACACTATTACAATATCATTGACTATATTACTTATGGTGTATATTTTATTCCTGTGACTTATTCTTGACATACCTGGAAGCCTGTATCTCCCTGTTCCCTTCACCCATTTTTCCAACCTTCACGCCCCTCCCTTCTGGCAGCCATCAGTTACTTCTCTATATTTATAGGTATGATTCTGCATTTTGTTTATTTCCCTTTATTTTTTTTTAATTTTTTTATTGTTATGTTAATCACCATATATTACATCATTAGTTTTTGGTGCAGTGTTCCATGATTCATTGTTTGTTCATAACACCCAGTGCTCCATGCAGAACGTGCCCTCCTCAATACCCATCACCAGGAAAACCCATCCCCCTCCCCCCTCCCCTCTAGAACCCTCAGTTTGTTTTTCAGAGTCCATCATCTCTCATGGTTCGTCTCCCCCTCTGACATACTCCCCTTTTCTTCCTCTCCTGTTATATTCTTCTTTTTCTTTTTTCTTAAAATATGTTGCGTTATTTGTTTCAGAAGTACAGATCTGTGATTCAACAGTCTTGCACAATTCACAGTGCTCACCGTAGCACATACCCTCCCCAATGTCTATCACCCAGCCACCCCATCCCTCCCACCCCATCTATAACTCATGAGAAAAGAATCTGGATTCAAGTTCATGTTGTTT